CGTGTCCCGGCCGTGTCCCGGCCGCACAGCAGCCCGTGCGAAGGGAAGAGGAAAAGGGACCGAGGGGCCAGTGCCGTGCCTGACCTGGAAGCGGTACCGGGGCGGAGGGCCTCGCCGAGGACAGGGGAAGAAAAGTATTTCCAGTAGGAAAAGAAAGCAGCAGCTTTCTTTTTTTCCTTTTCCTTTTTTTTTTTCTTTCTCCCCTAGCTTAATTATCAGGGGAAAAAAAAAAAAAGGCTGATCCTTTTGATGTGGAAAGTTTCCAGCAGCTCTGCTGTGTAGGGGTTGTCCCTTCTTAATACCTGGAGGAATGGCAAGAAAAGAAAAAAAAAAAAAAACAAACTCCTTTCCCTCCTTCTTCCACCTCTGAGACTTTCCCACCTTCTTTCTTCTGAGACTAAGGGAGTGTTCTCAGCTTTCAGATGATAGTAAGTTTTTGGCTGTGCGGTTTCTTGAGTGGGCTGGAGAATTAATGGTGATAAGTGGAAGTAAATAGAGCCCTTTTGGTGGTTAGCTTGTCGGACTGGGTCTGTGCTGGTGGCTCATTAATCTCCTGAAACGCTGGCTCCCTAATCAGCTAGCAGTGTGTGGATAACTCCAGTAGCTGGGTGACAGCGGGAGGTCAGTCCTGCAGCCTGGCTCGGGCTGGAAGCTCTGCAGCTGCTCCGAACGGGCTCCTGGATGGGGGCTCTGCTTGCCCGCTCCCTCGGCCTCTCCACGGGCCCCTCTGCGCTCCTGGCCCCGGGAGATGTCTGGCTCCGTCCCTTGCGGGTGTCTCAGCTGCGGCCTGCTGTGAGAGCCGCTGTCCACAGCCAGACCTGCACCAAGACGTGCCCCGGGTGTCACAGCTGCTGCCTGCTGTGAGAGCCGCTGTCCACAGCCAGACCTGCACCAAGACGTGCCCCTGGCAGAGGGGGGTGCTGGCCCGTCCGTACGAGCTGGATGGCCTCCTTGCCGTGTTGTTGTTGCGACCCACAGTAAAGAAATGTGTCCTGAACTCTTCTGCCAGACAAGTGTGCCTCCCACCCCCGTTATCTGGGTTCTCCCTGGTGCAGAAGTGATGAGCCTGCCCTTTGCCTGCTGCTTTAGCACTGTTTCTAACTTCACTGCCACAGCTGTGCAGCCTGTAGCAGCTGGACTTGTGTCAGCGCTGGTCTGCGTTCTTTAACGTGTGCTTTCCTCGTCTTCAGTGCTTTGGAGCAAGGACTTTGCTTTATCCTGAGCTGCAGGAACCTCGAAGGGCTGCAGCGTTGCCTGAATATCTCCTGCTGAGTTTTGATTGAGAAGTAGGAGTAGTCAGGTAGCTTTGACAAAGGTAGATAAGGGTCTAGTCTCATAAGCCTCTGGTTGCTGTTTGAGAACAGTGACAGAGCAGTGGGTCATGAGAACGGGAGGAAAAGTTTTTGTGCTATCTTGTATGGCTTCCCTGGCTCTGGGGTTCTTTAAGTATCAAGTATTTTGCCTCTGATGAAGAGTTGTGAAATGGCTTCTTCATCCAGACCTGCAAGAGAAGGCTGCTGAGGGGCCCAGGAAGCCTTAGCTTCTGAGCAGCATCCAGCCTCTTAACAGAAGCAGACATGTCTGTTTGCATACTTATCTTTTATAGTGATCCTGCAACAAACTTAAGACATTCAAGGTGTACATTCTTGTGTCTGAAATATCTCAGCATTGGCCAGACCTTTCTGTAAAGATCCCTATGGATACTCTATTGCATACTCTACAAATTTTGTCCCAGTGTCTGACGACTGTCAGTTTTCTTTCTTTTTTTCCAGGGCTTTAGTTACTCCTGTTTCTCGGTAGCTGTTCTGTGATTAGCCTCACAAACCAGAGGGCTGTGGCTGTACGTAAGCAGAACTCGCCTATTCTCTTGGCATCAGCTGAGAAGCGGGAACATGCAAGAGGAAAGAAGCCTGCAGGATGCAAGGCAGAGTCCAGTGCAGAGTTAGCTGTTAAACTGAGGTCTTGCTCTTCTGCAGAGTTTTTGGAAAGGCTCATAATCTGATTGAGACCCGCTGTTCAGTGTTGAGGGCCTACCCTCCTCCCAGCAGAAGAAGGTGAGAGCAATGGAGAAGTATCAGTGTGAGTTTTTCTACTCCTTTTTAATTTAGGGAGGAGAGGAAAAAAAAAGTTCTGCTTTCCTGTGCCTCTGTTTTAATAGTGAATCTTTTCTGTGCACAGGGACAACCAAATTTTAACACCAAGAAAGTGGATGTTACTAGTGGCTTAGCTGGATTAGAGCAGAGGTGAAAAGAAGGTGGAATTCTAGACAAACTAGGCCAAATCCAACTGAGTGTGAAGGGTTTTTATTAAGCAGAGCAGATATGGAATACCAGACTTGAGATCCATATATTGAATATGATTGCTGGTAGAAATAGACTTCAGAACCCTGCAGCTGCAAACTTCTGGGTGCCTTACTGTTCGCGTGTGATAGTGTACCCCTTATTCATCTAATTCCAGGCTTCAGTACTGTGGCAAACCCTTAGGCTTGTATCATCACCTAACCAAATGGAAATACTTGGGTATGCTTGCTGGAGTGCTGTAACTTAGCACTTATATTGTGGGAGGGAGCCTGGCAGTTCTCAAAAATAATATTCTGAGGCTTTGGAGCTCTACTTCCAGCCTCCTTGGTTGCTGGTTTAATTATTGCTCTTAACTTCATCCACCCACAAATGAAAGTGTTCTGCAGTATAATCTGAAAGTTTAAAATAGATCTGCCTGGGCTTCTCCAGACCTCTCCCTAGCCTGTTTAAATGAAGGACTGTTAGGCTGTCTTGATGTACTAATATACTGCTTTAAGAACAGTATTGGAGAGACTGAGGGCAACCAAACTGGAACCTGAAGTTGACAAACTTATGAAACAACATCCATCAAAATAAGTCAAAAAAAAAAAAAAAAAAAAAAAACTACAGCAACGCTGGTAGTGTCACAGAATAGTTGTGCTTGGAAGAGACCTCTAGAGTTCACCTAATTCAACCTCCATGCTCAAGGCAAGGCCACCTAAAACAGGCTGCAGTTGGGTTTTGAATATCTCCGAGGACGGAGATCTACGACCTCTCTGGGTAACCTGTTCTGATCACTCTTATGGGAAAAAGTGTGTGGCTCCCCTCTCCCTTTCTTAAGTGCAATTTCCTGTTCTTCAATTCCTACTCATTGTTTCTTGTCCTGACCGTGGATACCACTGAGAAGAGTCTTTCTTTTCTTTACATCTTCCCCACAGGTATTTATACGTATTGGTAACACACCCCCACCCTCAGTCTTTTCTTTTGCAGGATGAACAATCCCAGCTATATCAGCCTCTCCTAAACGACAACTGCTGTGATCCCTTTATCGTCTTCGTGGCCCTTTCCTCGACTTGCTCCATTACATCCCTGCTTGTTCTGGGGATGCCCACACTCTACACAGTACTTCTCATGTGCCCCTGCCAGTGCTGAGCAGAGGGGTCAAGGGATCACTGCCCTTGTCCTGGGAATGCTCCTTCTTATGCAACCCAGGACGTCGCCTGTGTCCTTTGCTAGAAGGACACACTGCTGGCCCGTGTTCATCTTGTTGTCCTCCAGGATCCGCAGATCTTTCTCTGAAGAGGTGATTTCCAGATGATGGTTTCTCAGCATGTGCTTGTGCATGGGGGTATTCCTGCTTGAACTTAATTAGATTTCTCTCTGCCCATCTGTCCAGCCTGTTGAGGTCCCTGTGAATGGCAGCACAGCCATCTGGTGCTTCAGCTGCTCCTCCGAGGTCTGTTTTATCTGCAGACTTGCTGAGGGTGCACTCTGTCACATCATCCGTGTCACTAACAAAAGATGTTTGACTATTGGCCCTCATATTGACACCTGGGGCACTCTGCTAGTGACCTGCCTCCTCCTAGGCTCTGAGATCATAACCCTTTGAGTCCACTATTTCAGCTAGTTTTTGGTCTACCTCACCATCCACTTACTGAGCTTGCACATCATCAGCTTGTCTGTGAAGTTATTACAGGAGGCAGTGTCGAAGACCTTAATCAAGTCAAGATAAACAGTATCCAGTGCTCTCCCCTCAGCCACTGGTTCAGTCTAGCCTTAGCAGAAGGCTTGTTAAGGTTTGTTAAGCATGATTTCCCTGTCATAGATCCATGTTGACTGCTTCCTGTATCTCCTTCATGTGTTTGGAAATGACTTCCACGAGGATTGGCTGCATCACCTTGAAAGACTGAGGTGAGGCCGAGTGGCCTGTAGTTCCCAAGATTCTCCTTGCCATTTTTAACACAGAAATGATACTTGTTTTCTTCCAGTCCTCAGGAATCTCTTCCAGTTGCAGTAACCTTTCAAAGACAGCTGAGTGTCCTTGCACTGAATTTGGCCAACTCCCTCAACACTCATGGTGCAGCCCAGGAGATCTCGAACTTGTGTAAATCCAGGTAAAATGTTTCCTAATCTGATCCTCTTACACCAAGGGTAAGTCTTGCACTAGACTTCCTCACTGATCTTGAGGGGCCTGGGGTTGCTGAAGGCTGGTCTCACCAGTAAAGACTAAGGTGAAGAAGGTATCCAGAATCTCGGCTTCTTTTGTGTCCTGCCCCATTCAGTACAACTCGGAGACCTCCAGTTGTCCTTGATACAGGTATAGAAACCTGCCATGTTGCTAGATTCAACCCTAGAGGGGCCCATGCTTTCCTAAATCTATGCCTACATAGTCAGGCAGTGTCTCTGTATTCCGGGAGATTCCTGGGTCACCTGTCCTTGCTTCCACCCTTCCTAACGTGAGCGTAGTCAGTTGGGGATGGCTATTTAAAAGAACTGCTGTTTCTTCTGCTACACACACAAGGCTGCTCTTCTGTAGTCTAATAGTTAAAAGGACTGACTCAAACCTGGCAGGGTTTTCAGCCTGCCAACAGTACTCTACCCACAGTCAAGCTGCTGACTAAATCCTGTTTCCTGTTTTCGTAATGCTGATAATTAAAACTACTTTCTCCAGTTATTTCTTCCCCTTTAAACTGATATTATCACCTGGATAGATTAATAGTGTGGTATCTTAGAGAAAGGCCAAAGTTCCTTTCCCCTTTATAGACCGCCTGGGTTGTGATAGGGTGGAAGGGCACACAGTGAAGTGTAGTGTACTTGCTTACATTTGCCCTCCTTTATAGAAACAGGGCTTTACTGGTAAGGGTGCTCCACTGGTTTCCTGCAATGCAAGTGGTTCAGTATTGCAGTAAAACTGTGGCTGGTGTGCTGTTTGTGGTCCTCAAGTTCCCAGTACAGTGAGGTTTCTCTGGGGTTGGCAATTTCCTTCTCCTCTGTGCAAGAGGAAGGAAAAATTGCACTTAACTTGTTCAGATATATCAACATAGCTGCCTTGATGCCATTACTTTTTTTTAGCTTTACCATCTGGCAAATCTGAAAGTAATTATAATACTGTAGGTAAAAGCTGTGTAGGTCTTATTTCTACTTAACTGTTGGAAGTAGGGCTATCTTTTGAGCTAAATTTCAGTGTTGCAAGGCTTTTATAATTGCTTTAATGGGTGCTTCCAATTTAATCTTACTGATTATTGAAAACACACATAAAATACATATAGGTATGCGTGCGCAGGAGACAGCACACTGATTAAAAATGACATTTTTATCTTGTATGTTCCTTGGAAACAACTTCACTAAGATTTGTCTGTTTACTTCCTGCAGAGAGCAACTGTCAAGGTAGGTGCTTAGCTCCAGCGACCCTTTAGGCTGTGGCTTGGCTGCCTGAGCTGGGGTTTCAGTATAGCAGAGACTCCAGGCTGTTGTGGCTGGGAAGAGAGCTGCTCTGGGCACTAAGGTGGGAAGAAAAGCGCCAAAAGTCTGAACTCAGGCTTAAAAGAGCCCAGCTGAAAAACTACAGGGAACATACTTCTTCTCCAGTTACTAGGAATAGTAATTGACAGTGAGCTAGTTAGTTGCTAGAAACACTTCAGCGACAAGCTATAAAGAAAGACAAGCCAGTGAGTTGCAAGTGTTTTAATGAGTTTAGTGTTGTCAGTGTCATGCCAGCCCGCAGGATTTACTGGCATACCTAACTCTTGGTACCTTTTTTATTCCTTAAATCTCTCAAATTGAAAGGAGGGTGGGGGTGAAAGGGGAGCTGTATTTACTGCAGGCACCACATTGTATCACAGCTATTTTGTTTTGTTTTAACTGAATATTTCACACAAACCATAACCTTTCATTAGGCATCTGGGCTAAAGGGTCCTTTTGAAATATCTGTGAAAATAAAAGCAAGAGAGCAGAGAAGGAAGGAGCTCAGCAGAGCCTCCTGTTAGGAAGTTCTTCGAACTCTAAGTTGCTTTAGTGATGCTAAGTCTCAGAGCCATGCCGACAGCTTCCATGCAGTTTCTTCCATGAAGCAGTAAGCAACAGGTAAGGATTTGCACTATGGCTTTCAGAGTCTTTCTCTAACTTCTAAAGAGGGTTTTCTGATAGGAGTCAAATCTTACACTCGCATCTTATGTAGAAGAGAACTATCTATGAAGAAAACAAAGGGGAAAAAAACTTCTTTCTATTCTCCAAAAAAATGAAGTAAATGTACACAGGAACTAGCTTTACCTAGATGATACCCCTCAAATTAAGAAAACAAGTCTGAAGATTAACATGTGTGTTTTGGAAGGGCATTGTTGCAGTGATCTGTAGTATTAAGTGATGGGTTATTTATACAATTAAAGCATATACTTTAATCTTGATTCTCATTGTTCTGTACTCTGTGCTCCAGTGCCCAAACTTAAGTCTGGAAAAACAAGCTCTGCTTAAACCATCCCAACACTGCAAATCTGATAAGAGTAGCTACTGGCCATTCAAAGAGAAAATATTAGTAAGGACAAAGCTTATCTTGGACACATCTGGCAAGAAAGCTGTTACTATGCTGGTTCGATGCCCTGTCCTCGTGGGAAAGTACTGCTTTGTGCTCCTTGACTGGAACTTCCTGAATCTTTATTAAAGGCTTCCCAAGGTCTAAAAATCTGACTTACTCCAACTTTATAGTTGGGTTCACTTTTTTCCAGTGAGTTTGGTGATTGGACCCGTTCCTCAAAGAAGAAATTATCCCCAGCGCAGGTCCTGCTGGAGGGCTCGGAAGCTTTCTCCGCTGGGACACTGCGTGCGACAGAGCTGTGTTTTGTTTAGCTCCATGTTGAAGGCGTTAAGGCAGGTGGGCATGGTAAGTTAACGATTACCATCAGCTTTCCTCAAACACGGGCTTCTCTGGGCAGAGCCGTCAGCTTTGTTGTGGCTTTCAGAAGTCAATATGAGGCCAGCTGGAAGTTAAAATCTTGGATACTGCCAATACAAAGCTGTATTTCAGACTGTCACCAAGAAGCCCCCCGGAAAGCTTTAATCAGTACCACTTATTGTCAGGGGTCAGCACGTGCTCCTCAGGATTTGTGTCCTGACTTTGTTCACTGAACTGCTCGCTGCTAGATCCATATGCTTCATTCGAAGCCATATGTGCTAAACATCTGTGTGTGCCACAGTGGCTGTCAGGAGTGTAGGCTGCACAGGGCTGTAAAGGGTCTTCCTGTGGCAATTTCAGTTGCAGGATCTTGTTTCTTCCCTTCATCTCTCTCTATATGAGTTATTTTCCATGCTGTGATGAAGTACTGCAGGACTTGCTCCCATTTGCCCCCCTCTATCCCTTAAAGGAGAGAGTGAAGTGGTCATACTGCATTTTTGTTTTTGACAGGTAAACACTTGATATCAAGTTTCCTCCTTCAAATATCATCTTGCTGGAAACTGCCCTGTTTGTCAGCAAACATGGTAGAGGAGTATTCCTTAAAAAGCACCTGGGTAAACTAGCTCTGAGAGCTCTTCCAAGAGCACAGTCCTCCAGTTCTTCCCAGGATTAAGATGAAAACATTGGTTTTATTATCTCTGCCTCCTGTGCTTGTTCAGTAAGGGCTCTAGGGTCTCACTTGCCCTCCTGCTTGTGTACTTGTGTGTGTCCTATATCATAATGCAAGATAGCAGCATGTGCTTGTTTGCCAAACAACGTCCCCAGATACTAGAGTATGTCCTGGTCATCTTTCGTCTTCACGTTTCTTCCCTTCCTGTTCTGAACCTCTTTGTTCAGGTCAGAAAAACATTTCTCTTTGCTCTCTGGGGCATCTAAGCCAGATCAGCACTTCAGTGACACTGGATACTCAGATAAAGGTTAAAATCTATGACCCAGTTAAATCTACTGCTGCTACTAGAGCACGAGCCGGAAAAACTGATGCAGGGTATGTTTGCAGTGCTCTGACACAAAGCTGTGTGGCTCCAGGAGAAAGCAGTTTAGTTTGGACTGGCTTAGCAAACTGTTCCATCTGTAGTCTGATATAAATCTGCCTTCTTGGATTGGGGATGACTTCTGGTTATATGCTGTATTCACAAAGGGCTCCTGCTCATGGTTTGTATCCTGGCTGGTGCTTTGCTATGTAGAGGGTCAGAGCTCAGGTTCTAAAAACAAAGCTTTAAACAAAGCATTGCGTATGTGCTCCTTAACAAGGTGCTGTTTAGTGTTTAAAAGTGGGTTATGCTGTTCCTGTGCATGCAGCTGTGGAATGCTTCTGAGGACAGTTAAGTTCTTGTAATGAGCAATATTCTTGTAACAAACTCCTTGCAGATGGACATAACTTGCAGAGCTAGAAGACAGTAATTAAAGACTTGATTAAAACCCCGGCTTTTTTTTGTTTTTGTTTCCTTTCTTTTATTTTTCCTTCCTTTTTCTGTCATTTGTGATAAAAGAAAAAAAACACTACATATTTTCAGAAATGCTTAGAAATCTTTGTATGTTAAAGAAAGAATGGAAGTGAGTCTGGATTCTTTTTCTCTTCTGCTGAAGAAGGGAAAACTTGTTCTGCTAAGGGATCCAAATCCAAGCCAGCCCCAATAGTGAAAACTTGCTTGCCTTCCACAGCTCACAAGCCTTCTCTGCTCTCTCCACAGCTGTTAACTAATCTCACTGGGCAGTTGCCAGAGGGACTTCTTGCTTTTTGCAGGGACTCTTGAGTTGTGTAAACATATCTGGAAGCTAACCTTGTATTTGGGACTTTCTCACAATAAAACGGCTAATCTCATGGATGTGCTGGAATACCTTAAAATGCAAAAAGATAGCATGCCATGTTAAAGGAGCTAAAAGAGGAAACAAACACCCTATTCCTTCTTCTCATTTCACTTCTGTTAAAAGCATATGGAGAAGCATGTGCCATAGCCATAGAATTTATAAGCCAAAGGCAGTATGTTTTATCTCTGTGTATTTTTCCTAATCAATGCCTGTTTCAAATAACTTAACCCACTTCTTCTGCCAAGCAGCCAGCTTTTAGAAATCTTCTGGCTTTTGTGCACAGAGTAGCTCAGAAATGCTGCTGATCTCTAATACTGACAGGCCATCTTAACTGCTGTTAAAACATATACTAGAGGCCACTAATTATACACTCTTTTTTTGACTGAGAAAGCAGGCAGGACTCTGAGACTTGGTGAGAAGATGGACATACAGCCAGGCTGTGTAAGCAGCTGGTCTGGCTAGTTCTTGGCACCCTCCTGTGATGCTTCTGCATGGAGAGTATGGCCAAAACTGAGCCATTTCACAGTTCAGTCCCTGAAGACTTTTGCAACAGGGTTAGGAGATCAGTTGTTGCTCTTGCTGCAAACCTGCTGTTTGCAGGAAACTTGTCTGTGCACTCATTCC